GGAGGGAGCGGGGAGAGAAGGCATAGCAGTGATTTTCCTCAGTTCTTTCAGGGTTGACATTCTCATGTGCTTTCTCTAGGGGCTACCAAAGACATGGGGAAGATGCTGGGTGGGGATGAGGAGAAAGACCCAGATGCTGCCAAGAAAGAAGAGGAACGACAAGAAGCCCTTAGGCAAGAAGAAGAGGAAAGGAAAGCCAAATATGCCAAAATGGAGGCTGAAAGAGAAGTTATGAGACAAGGGATTCGAGATAAGGTAGGCACCTAGCTTTCTACACACACTGGACAACTCTTAATGCTCAGTGGGAACTGCTATTTTCAGTTGATTTGGGGCCAATTCCCCGACTACCTGAGTGGAGCCAGGTAATTGTTTTGTTGCACTGAACTTTCTAATCTTGTGCTCTGTCCCTGGAGCTCCATCCCTGGTTAAACATACCTCCTGCACTGAAAAGAATTGCGGTATTGAAATAGAGAGTGAAGATGAGGGGAGAAAACTGTCAATGTTTTTCCCACCATCTGTTAAATGATCGCATTATTTTAGACCTTACAGGCTTTTCTGTCCCTATGTTGGTGTTCTCCAAGCTTGCATTACTGGTTTATGAGAAGTGCCATCATTCAGCATGTTAGTGAGAGTCAAGAATCTAAATACCTTCTTCTGTTCAGTGTATTGCTTCCAAGGCTTTTGTTGTGGTTATGGGTGAAATGGGACAAATCTACTTTATTTCTCATATTTCTCAGCCCTCTGCTAGTCAGTGAGGAATCACCTGAAACAGGAGAGGTTCATTTATTTGTGGAACTTTACTGAGAAGCAGTCTCTTCTATTGAAGATAATGATTGATTCTGATAATGTCAGAGTCTGGCCTGAGAAGGAAAGTAACAAATAATTATGATGTTTCAGAAAGAAATTAAAAAGAAATGTACAAAGCAAATCTTTTCTAGAGAAACGAGCTTAATTTAATGTAGCTGAGCACATTGTTATCATGCATTAGCTCTTAGAGGTCTATGTAAGGAGGGAAAAGGCAGTTCTCCTACCTTATGCTCAAGACCAGGTCAAGGTTGTCTCTCCAATACAAATTAGTTTTGTAGAAAGAGGCCTTGGCTTGTAAAGAAACGTGGCTAATGGTCAGTGGAGAAGTTCCTGGTGGTAAAGGCCTTTCTGATGACTTACTTGACATGCCAAAGAACAGAAGAAATCCCCAGGAGGGAGATAAGATTGAGTGTATGCACTGAGGTATAGAGAGCAGGGGATATATAAAGAGAGGGGATCTGATCAATGTGTACAAGTTTCTGAAGGGAAGGTGTCAAGAGGATGGGCCCAACTCTTCTCTGTGGTGCGCAGCGACAGGGTAAGAGGCAACGGGCAGAAACTGAAGCACAGGAAGTTCCATCTGAACATGAGGAAAAACTTCTTTGCTGTGAGGGTGACAGAGCACTGGAACAGGTTGCCCCAGAGAGGTTGTGGAGTCTCCTTCGCTGGAGACATGCAAAACCGGTCTGGATGCGATCCTGTGCAATGTGCCCTAGAGGATCCTGCTTGAGTGGACGGGTTGGACTAGATGATCTCCAGAGGTCCCTTCCAACCTCAACCATTCTGTGATTCTGTGATTCTATGAGAGTAATATTTGCAGAACCTACTTGCACCAGTCAGAGGGAGGATGTCCTGCTTGGTGTGGGAGATGCTCCCTCTGCAGTGTCTACCTCTGTGCAGGTTACAACGGCTTAGGAATGTGTGTGGGAGAAAGCCTCAAATCTCACTACAGAGCTGAGAGCGACCATATGTGAACAAAATTGTGTCTGCATAGGATCAAACTTATGAGCCAATCCTTATGATTCAGGTTATGATGGGTTGTTCTGGTGTCACAAGAGATCCTGTAAAGGGTTCACAAAGTGTTTCTGCAGAAAAGCATGCTAGGGATTATGCTTCTAAGAAAAGATAGGACTTAAAGGAAATTACCTACTTGTGCCAGAGAAAGGTATTCACATGATCTCTAGACAGAAGGTATTGACCACAGAGCAGAGAGTTTCAGGACTTCTCCCCGGTCAAAATAAGTTGTTTTTATAATATATTTAAGGAATATACATGTATTTACTATAATAATTACTGTGATAATTATTGCATTTATTAATGTATGCAACATATACATTTAATGAGCTTTGTGAGACTGTGTCTGAGCAATGCCACTGGTCTGAATTAGGCAAGGGGGAAAGAAAAAGAGGAATGAAGAATTTTTAAGCTGCAGGTATCTGGGATCTTGCCCTGTTTTCAGTGGTCACTCTCTTCTGCTATGCCGCTGAAGTGCTCCCAGAGATAGACAGGGGTTGCATTCTTCTTGCCTGTAGGCAAACTGCAGTGGAAGTATTTAAGAAACTTGAGATGTCACCTGTCACAAATTAGAGAAGATCAAGGTCAGAATTCACCAGAAATGTTCCTGAGTAGCTCACTGGCAGCCTGAACTTGGAGGAAAGATCCAGTCAAGGATCATTTTCCTGAGATACTGGCAACTGTTTAGACATTGCAGAGTTAGGCTTAGTACTGAGCAAAATGTGTCTTGGAAATGGATGGACTCCTGAGCAATGCTGTTCTGAACAGCAAAGGTTTGGGTCTGCAGAGAGCGTGAGCAGGGACACTTGGAGGAATGCTATTTAACCCCAGTCAAGGTGATTGTTATGGTGGTGGTGGTTGTTTTCTGCATGCAAAGCGCAATAGCATAGGAGTCACTATGTGGCTAAGGCCTTGGTACTAGAAGTATGTTGAGATCTTCCTGCATCAGTGAGCCTCTATAGGACACTATGAAATTATGAGGGCTTCCTTATTCGTTTGCTGGCCCCAAGGAAATGATGAAGTCTGGTGTTTGATGTTCATTCCTG